GCAATTCACGCAAAGTTGTGCATTTTGTTAATTCGTGGTAAAAGCAAGGATTTAGCATGTACGGTGTTTGTACGGAAATATACTGCACACCGTCAAGATTTCCACAGAAATCGGTCATTGCATAGTCTGCTGGATTAAGTGCTACTCGGTGAGGTACCGGATCAATCGAGAGTATAAGTCTAGGTGGAATTCGCGACCCGCTGAAAAACTGTGTGCAATCGGAAGGATATATTCGTCCTTGTAAGGTTCGTAGGAAATGGCAGCCGTGTATGGCATCGAATAACGAGCTCGGTATCGCAACAGATATTGCTTTGAACGTTTTTAATCGTCCGAACGATAAAATCTTTGATAACGCAACGGTGAATAGGGTTAGGTCGTTGATTGACAACACTATCTCAGTTAAAGTTTCGACGAATACAAGCGCGCAGACTATCTTTTGAGTTTAATTTGCTTGAGAATCATCGTAAGTGTAGTTTGTGCTGATGCTGAATTTTGCAGATTCTTCAAATTCGATATTGATAACGCAAACCGATCCAAGCTATCAGAATCGCGCTCGCTATCAAAACCGACGGATAGCGTAATGGAGGTCAAAGATTTCAAGTTTTGACAAATGCTCTCAAGCGCAGTTAAAGTCTCCGACGTCAACGTAGTCGAAAAAGTCAGTTCCTGCAACCCACAATACTGTACAGCGACCGGTTGTAAAATAGTCGGAACAACTGAAATAATCGACTTCAAGATTAAAGATCTCGATTCTCAAAAGGTAGAAGATTCAGCGGTCTGTCTTTCATCTTATAATTCAAAATTGAACATATCTGTACGTTCTGCATAAGTATTTTGAAATAGTAACCGTCACGAGGTTCGTCGAATCTGTTAGCGTCGTATTCAAAAGTTTTGAAAAGCATCGGAGATAGAATTGCGAAGAGGGTTTTGCAAGTTAAACCGAGGATGATAATTGTAAGCGCACACGGTTCAACACCACGTAGAAAAGAGGTTACGTAGATTATTGCTTCATCCGGTAAATCAAGTATACTTCTGCCGTGTTCGTTTTCCATTGAATGATGGATTCAATCGTAAAGATATGTGCAGTTTCGAAGCAAAACAAATTTCTTCTCGTCAAAATCCATCAGTATTGTTCACCGGATATCAGAGAAAATTTAGAGTTATGGGAGAAATTAGAAATTGGTATAATCCGCTCGATAATATTTTTTGGTCATCAGAGCTCATAACTTGAATGCACTGGCAAAATTCGCGGTGTAATCATCAAACACTGTCGTGTACTTTGAGGCCTAGAATTTCCTTGATAAATCTGTCGAATAATCTAATTGATTGAATTTCCGATTCGGATTGTGTGTTGAGTTGAGCGGATGTCCAATTTCGCATTGCCAAACTTGTCAACCAAACAAAAAAAAAAAAAAAAGAGTTTCCAAATGTCACAATTTACTTGTAATTCTTCAGAGTAATCATTCCTTAACATCCTGCTAATCGTAATTTTGGTTTGTAATTCAGATATCGAGAATCTTGGAATTAAAGTTGCGAATGGTTCACCTTCATTTGGAATCCTTCTCGAATCCCCCGACGAAGTAAAATCATTCGTATACAGTGATAATGGTCTTTACTGTGCTTGGATCTACAGCACCTGGTATGTTGACAATTCTTCTTATATTCAAATGTTTTTCAAAATCAGAATGATGCATTTCGCAGCATAAAGATATTTGAAACGAAATCAAATACAGAAGTATCTACCCTTCAAACAAAATCAGCACTCGCAGCTACATTTTCACCTATGGGATCATATATTTGCGTCCACGAGCGATACCAAAAACCAGCAAACAACGAACCACAAATTAAGAACCAGAAAATCTACCAAACCACCACCGCCAAGCTACTATTTGAATTTTCTGCCAAATCACTCTCACAACCGCAATTCACCGCGACGGAATCACATTTCACGCGATTAGTAGACTCTGAAATTCACATTTACGATATTTCCAAACTGAATCCTGATTCACCTACAGCCACCACAACGAAATTTTCAAAATCCGTTGTATCGCAGTACTCGCTATCTCAGGGTCAACGTCCACTGTTAGCCGTGTTCACAAAACAGTCAGCAAAAGCACCGGGTGCTTTGAAATTATTCGATTTCACGTCGCATTCGCTGTTAGCGTCGAAATCATTCTATAAAGCTGATTCGATATCGTTTTTTTGGAATTTCGTTGGTACGTCGTTGTTGGGGTTGACGAAATCTGATATGGATACGACGGGGAAATCGTATTATGGGGACACAAATTTGTTTTTGTTGTCAGTTTCTGGGGTTGATCAGAAAGTTGGATTGGCGCCGACGGAAGTTTCGGGAGGTAAAGAAGGTGCGGTACATGATGTGCATTGGAACCCAAAGAAGAATGAATTTATTGTGTGTTTTGGAAGTATGCCGTCGAAGACGTGGATATTTGATGGATTCGGACGGAAAGTTGCAGAGGTTGTTGAGGGACCACGTAACTCGATCCGATGGAGTAAGGATGGGAGGAATATTTTGGTCGGTGGATTCGGAAACTTGTCCGGAGAGTTGGATATTTTTGAGATTTCTGTGAATGGAGCAGGATCCAGCGGTGGTATTAAAAAGGTCGCTACAGTAAATGCAGAAAACTCGAGTTTTTGTGAGTGGGATCCGTATACGGATTTCTTTATGACTGCGATTATGTATAAACGGTTAAAGGTCGATAACGGGATTAAGATATGGCATAAAAGTGGTATTTTAGTAGAATGTATTCAAGTTAAGGAGCTGTTTGAGGTTGGTTGGAAGCCGGATTTGGACGAACGAAGTAAAATCACTGAAGTTCCGCCAAAATGGGCTGGCAACAGTGCGAATGGTGCTGCAAGCGAAGTGAAGGTAGAAAAGAAAGTTGGAGCGTATCGACCACCAGGCGCTCGAGGAAAACCAGCAACGTTTAGTCTGCGATCAGCCGATTTGGACACTCCGTTTGAAAGTGTTAAATCCACTGCAACGACGATTCCGGGAATGGCAGAGGAAGAGCAGTTGTCAAAGACTGCGTTGAAGAATAAGAAGAAACGAGAGGCTAAAAAAGCTGGGGATTCTGATTCGCCGGCCGCGAATTCACCAGCACCTCCACCTCCCGCCGTTATTACTAGTAATGCCACTGAAAAGGAGAAGAAAATCAAAGCTTTGAACAAGAAATTAAAGCAAATCGCCGAAATCAAAGTCCGCAGAGACGCTGGTGAAAAATTGGAATTAACACAGGTAATATTTTTGTTTTTATTATAGTATTTATTAAGAAATTAAAAATGCATCTTTAGATTCAAAAAATGGAATCAGAGTCCACGGTTCTTCAAGAATTAGAAAAATTACAATTAGAATAAAGATTAAATCACAGCTGAAAAGCACGGCAAAAAGATGTTCAGTTTGTAATAATATGTTCAGGTACAAGAATATCATCAACAACCTCTTCTTCAAATCTCTTCCAAACCTTTACATTCCCACTCTTATCCAAACTCACAAACAAATCATCAAACACCGCCAAATACGTGATAGGATATACGTGGATCTTAAACTCGTTCAGCGCAGGTAATTCCGTAACATCTTTCCTCGAATGCGCGCCGAATACCAGCACATTCTCAGTTCCACCTATAATCTTAATTTCCACCCCATTTGGATTCACAACCGACGGATTCCCACGTTTACGCTTTACACCACTACCTTCCCAGAAATATAGCCTACCATCTTCTCCGCCTGCAATCACCATACCGTCAAGTATACCCATCGCATTTATCCAAGACTTTGAACCGGTTAATCTTAAGATTTTCGAATTCAACGGTGCAAGTTTGTAGATCGTAATCAAATCATCTTGACTTGACGATAGCAGTAAATTCGCCGACACTGTTGCAGGGAAGCACGACGAAATGTACGAGCCAAAGTAAGTAGAGTATATTGCGACAAGAGACAATTTTAACGTGGCAGGTTCTGGTGGTGTGAAGACTGTATAAAGGTATAGTTTTGATCCACATGCGATGGTTATGTAGTCGTTTGAAGGCGAGATTGTAATTGAATTAATCTTTGCTGAGAATGGGATTGTGATGATTGGGTTTTTCGTTTGCGATATCGGTGATCTATGAAAAGTGTCCAATCAGTTAGATTTCAAAACAAAAAACATAAGATAGTTGATTTACCCAACAATCCCGTTAGAATCATACGTAACTGAGCCAACATCACCTTTCAAAACATCAAACACAGCAACGACTTTCCCAAACACACCTAGACAGTACGTCTTATCCACAAACTTCAAAATTTCCGGCCCACTGCCCGCAATAGTTTTCCCACCATTCCCATTCAACCCAACACTCACAACCGACGCCCGTCCAAAATCAAAATACAAAATCTCCGATTCAAACGAAACAACTAAAAACAGTTCAAATTCACCATTTAGCCGTTCAAACCATCGCGCATCAAAACAAATTATCGGCGCCGTGAAATACAACGAAAATAAAGAATGTTTTATCGATAATGAAAAATGTATCACGTTGGCTTTGTTGTGGATTAATGTGGGGATCTTTGTTGGGATAATTAACGGTGTTGGGATTTGGTTGTAGAGTAGCTTGGATAAAAGTGATTTTTTGGATTTCTTGGACGTAGTTGTTGCGTTTGATGTTGAATTGGCTGATGTGGAGAGTGACGGGGATATAGTATTATAGAAATTGTATATTGTGCAGATTGATTCCGAGTTTAATTCGAGAGATGCAACTGTTTCATAAATTCAGTTATTTATAAAATAATATGAACAGAATAAGTACCAGATTCATTTCCACCGTCGATTAGAAATTCTTCTGCGATGAAATAATTGCAACCATTAATCTCCATTATTGATAACTTTCTGACACTGTCAAATTACATCCATGTGTTCAACGAACGCGCTTCGCAAACCACCAAAAAAAAAGAAGACAGAAAGAGCTTGAAAAGCGATGTTTCAAATTTCAAAAAACAATGAAACTGCTTCCGGGGCGGATCGAACGCCCGACCTCCTGTGTGTGATACAGACATCATAACCACTAGACAACGGAAGCATCCATCAACGGGATAAGTTAGCAATATATAACTAAATATTTATAATTGCATCCAAATCGCATTAAAATGGAATTTAACATGGGAAGAAGTTCTTTTCCGAATAGTTTTCGTCGTAAAAAAGTAATCGAATCATCCCTAATCACACTGGAACCTGATCTGATAAATTCAAATTTCTCATAACCCAGCGCCAGCAGTTCTACTAATAGTTGCGATTTCAAAAAGTTAAATATTTTTGCTTATGATTTGATAACCACGAAGACTGCTAATTTCATGACCAAATGAGTCAAAATCCAATAGCGGATGTGACGTGTTTTTTGTCATACTTTTTTCCGTCTTTACTTTAAACCTTTCGCCCTCCCAAAATCAAAAAACCACACATATATAAATAATAATGTCTAGCAATATTGACACAAAATCATCTTCAACTGAATCTGTAACCGTAGCTCTGCTATCAACAAAAACGTGCGGCGAATTAATCAAAAAGTCATTAGCCGACCGTACACAAGTTGCCGGCGCAAACGCTCCCCCGGAACGGCCTGTATGTCTAGACTCGAATTTGAGTGTGCAGGAAGGTTGCGCTGCTCTCGCGGCTTACCGTATTTCGTCGGCTCCAGTGTATGATCATAAACAAGGAGGGTTTGTTGGAATGTTGGATTACAGAGATCTCGTTGCGTTTGTTTTGGAAGTTCTTCATAAGGTGCCGAAACAAGGTGGATTTGAACCGGATTCGGAATGGGTAATTGAAATTTCATAAATTTTGTTCTTTGCATTTCGTTTAACGCTTTCATTACTCCCACAGGAAATTACTGATATAGTAAAACGTGCCGTAAACGATCGTCAAGGTGTACAAATAAAATACGTTTCAAATCTCTCACAACGTAACCAACTCGTCGGTGTAAATGCAGATGCCCCAATCTTGTCCGCCGTGAAAGAAATGGTCGCCAACCGCGTTCACAGAGTAGTTCTTCTTCAACCACCGAGTCCCGACAGTGATTCTGCTGGCGGCAGCAGATTTATTGGAATTCTCAGTCAGTCGAGTATCGCTTCGTATCTCGTTTCACATCTTGGCAAATTGGCCAGCCCGAAATATCCGCACACTTGGGATTTGGGAACCAAGACGCTTGAAGAGTTGAATTTTGTAAAGGGCAACGTCGTCAGCATCACCATGCAAGATACGGTAAGCACATTTATTGTGTTCTTGATTTGCTTCTAACAATCACGATAACTAATAATTGTTAAATCCAGGTTTTGGAAGCGTTATTCTTAATGCATCAAAACGAAATCTCATCCGTGGCAATTGTTGATCGCGCAGATGGGTACGATCGATTGTGTGGGAACATTAGCATGACAGATATCAAGGAAGTCCTCGGAAGTCGCGGTGGTTGGAGAAGATTATACGACAACGCTTTCCGCTTCTTTGCTCAAATACGAGCCGCGCAAGGTCTTGAAAATGCCGGAAACGATCGTGCACCCTCATTCGTCGTTCACCCAACCACAACTTTGATCAATGCAATGGAAAAAATGACCGCCACCAGAACTCATCGTGCCTGGATTGTAGATCATGTAAACAGACTTGTTGGTGTATTTAGTTTGAGTGATTTGATGCCCTTGCTTCTCTCCGACAAGAAGTAAATAGCAAACCTTTGTTTTCTTATAAATTTTCATTTTCGGTATCAATGTTTACGAATGTAAATAAATTTCTTTTTTTTGTGTCTAAAAATAATTCTCAATTAATAATACAATGATTTTTACTCAAAAAACAAAAGTAATAAGCAGTCAAAAAATTACGACCAAATACATATAGTATATAATAAAAAATGTCTTTATAATATTTAATCATCACACTGATTTCCTTTATCAGCCTTGCTTGCAAATCGTAGTGGGGGTAGCACGTATACTTCAACATCTTTCGAGATCTCTGTTGGCATGATGACTTCGGAGACATTCTTTTGCCTTCTTTTGCTGAAAGTGCGAATTAAACTACCAGATCGTCCAATAGATTTCATCAAATCAGCGATACTCTGCGAAGCCTTGGTAATGACCGAGTGTCGTCGAACCAATTCCACTGATATTTTATCATCCGATTTAATGATATCAAACGTAGTCCCGGAATCCGGTTGCAATGAAATTACCGATATTCGATTAAACGCGTTCGTAATTTCTTGTAGTTTTGGAGACGTCGGGCTATTTTGTTCGCTGATGGCAGTTAATGTGTTTGATATATCCGACTCTGCTGTTCTAGAAATTCGCTTGCCTATAAATCCGTCTTCCTCCATTATACTGTCACTGCAATTATGTACATTATTAAGATGCGAGTTCACAGTAGTAAACGACCGTCGTAATGCAACATTGTCTCTGCGATGTAGAAAATCTGATTGATTCTGGAATCGAATTGCTCTAACATCGCTCGATGACAATCTCAACGAAGAATAACTATGTAATCGCGGCGTTCGATCGGTGTAGTAGTGGTTTGACGACACGGTTCGAAGCGAAGCAGCTCTCTCGCGAGGTTTTTGAATCGTTTCGTGATCTCGAATCATATTCAAGGATGGATGATCGTACACATCCCACACCGAAATATCAGGATTCTCTTCGCCTTCGATTGTAACCTTTAATCCTTTTTTGAGGTAAGTTGTAGCCTGTGAGGAGGCAGCGGAATACAAAGACGAAGGTCTGCGAAAATAGTCATATTGTTCGCCGTTAGATGCCACGTTGGAACTTATTTCCGATATTTGCGGTGAAGGACAAGTAGCAACGAAAATTTCCAAATTCGACGTTCCTAAGAATTTGGACAAAGACTTTTTCCGAAGCACACCTTCCTCTTGATCATTTGTTGATTCATCAAACGAGAATCTAGAGGGAGAAGGAGAGTGTCTAGAAGGGTAAACTGAGCGTGGTGGAGAGCTCGGGAAGTATTGATTGGGGTAAAATTCCAGAGAATGAATAGAAATTGATGAGCTTATATTTGTTCGATAGTCGAGATTCGGCTTAATGTTATCGTCGGATGTCGTTAAGTATTTCCCTGAATCTAGTGGGGATTCCGCGCGACTGAGCGTAAGGACCCCGAGGTCTACTGAGGAATTGCCCTGGGCGTTGCGAGCATCTTCGTTCTTAAGAGTTTCGATTTGCGATCCACAATTTCGTGATTCTGTAAACGTTTCGCTCACGGAACTTCGCTTTCTTCGCAGAGAGAAGGTGGATTTTAAATTTGCACCAAAATCGAATTTCTTCCATGTGGAACTACGACTACGGTGTAGCTTTACATGATCCTTCGATTCTTCCGTCAGCGTATCTTCAGATGCATCTCTTCGACTCAGTAGTTTCTGAAACCACGTTTTGGGAGACATTTCGCCCAGTTTACGAAATGAACAATATACTTGATAATATAAATAAGCGGGAAAGGGGGAATGGATATATAATAAAGGGAGCAACCGAACTGGGTCCCTTTTCGAAAGAATTTCTAGTCTTCACGCGAGACGACGATGAAACTCGTTTGGGATTGGTTCTTTTTCGTTGGTTGGACAAAGTATATTGGGCTCCGCTCCAGGAAACCCAGCTCAATCACACTCTTTTACCTTTATGATCCAGCTGTTTTATTACTATTTTTAAACTCGTGACGCATATAGTATTAATATCTGTGTTGATTAAATTGGAATCCCTATGATTGACTGATCATACTAATCACAAGCCGTTCAAAGATGTACCCCGCTACAGGGTATCAAAGTTTCGCAGCGTAAACTTTCAATAAATTGAATCAGGTATAACGTTCATCCACGCTAAAAACCGAAGATGCACGTTGTGTTGTCAAATTCCAAATTCAAAAAATTGGGAGACAGAATCCCCATGTCTTCACATGAGTAACTCACATTTCCGAACTTCTTGCTTGCAAATTACTGACTGTATTTGTTTCTGGAACTTGTAGTATGTGGCTCTCAAATTTAAAATTCCGAGTCAACTTTAGATTCAGACTTATTTAAGAACAACTCTGGTAACATTTATACATTTCCTTGTTTGTGCGTTGTTTATTAAGTTATAATATTTTACATTTCTTCTTTCTGCGGGTTGAAACTCTTCTTAGACGAGGAAACCTCCACGACATTGTTCGCCGCTGCTGTTGAACATTTCCTGCTGGACTCGATTCGCTCCCAATCAATGGTCCCACAGTCATTGAATCCGAAATTACATTGGGTTCAAACTGTGTGTCTTCTACAACCGGAGGTACTTCGTTATCGTTAAAATTTTCGTCATTCTCCATATCCTCATTGGAACCCTCGCTAGTATCATCTTCTTCGTTTTGATCTTCAGGATCCCGTTTCTGATCTTCATTAATCGCGGAACTTGATAGATCTTCAAGAGAAGAACCTTCTTTTATGTAATCAGCTTCTGTCATTGGAACAAAAACCGGGATTCTTCGATACGATCCTGAATTGGTCGAAGAAAACGTGTCGGAAGCTCCCAAATCTAAATTCCGAATACGACGCAGTACATCTAATGGAATTAAATGCGACGAATCCGTTCGCGAAGAATTAAACGAATCGTACGTGTCTTCCCGTTGCAAGTTATTTGTTGGAGTGAGCTCGTAGTTCGATGGTGATGCGATTTCATCTGAATTTATCGAATTTATTGGAGAATCGTCGTGGTGGTAAGGGTTCTGTAAATTGAGCGCGTTTCCTATCAAATCAATCAAATGTGAATGGTGTGGATGTGGAGAACCAGACGGCGAAATCGTAAAATTGGGGGTATTGTATATTGCATCGTTTATTGGGGAAGGTAAAGGAGGACTGCTTCCGTTTATTGATTCTCTGGCACTAAATATGGATGAAGAAAGAGTTCGAATCGGTCCTGGAACATCGTAGTCCGAAATTAACGACCCATCGTTCAATTTATCGTACAACATTTTTTGAAGTTGGAGATAGTCGGCGTTATTCGATTCATTTCGCGTTGAGATTAGCAATTGCGAGCTCTTTTCAAACCATGTCGTTGCTTCTTCTTCGTTTCC